TTTTTGGAGAGTGATGTATTTCCTTCCTAAATACTTCTTTATTATGGATTTCGAAACCTTAGAGCTTTGTGTTGGGTAGAAAATAATATTATTGTGATCTCATGTATTTTCTAGTTGGTTATAAAATTGTTATATGATATATTTTAAAAATTTTGGATAGATGCTTGTAAATTGAGATAAATGTTGAAATTGTATGCTTGGTTGGGTTGTTTGTAATGCACATGAGTAAGAGGTTACTTGTAAAATGCTCACCCATTCCCAAAAGGTTCATAGTAAGGATGCTTGAGAAATATATAGTTATTGGTAAGAGGTTCCATGTAAGGATGCTCATATATTTTCAAGAGGTTCCCGGTAAGGATGCTTGAGAATCAAAGGTGACCTAAATGGGGGTGGAGGTTATCACAAAGTATGCCACCTACTGAAAGAATTGTTGGGAATTGGTTATGACAATTAATGGTTATTATTTGTATGTGGTATTCGTTTATTCATTTAAGTAATATTTTTAAATAAACTTGAGATCCTTTTTAAATGTCACCGCTTTATTTCAAATTATGTATCTATGTTATGTTAAAATTGAGACCGATCGTGTTAAATGCTTTTCTAAACTTTTATGAGTTTGAGAGAATTTTTCTACAGAGCTTCGTGCTCACCCCCTATCGCTAACATTTTTCAGATTACCCGCTTGAGGAGGAGGACGTAATGGTCGAGGAGCCCGCTACTTGGGAGACTCCACTGGACTGGAGTGTGGATCCCGAGGTGGACGCATAGAGCGACCTCATTTCCTTTTGTACTAGACTAGGACATTCTTTTGAAACATTGTGTAGTCTAGCTTTTTTTGTTTATTCCGCTGCGCTTCTTTAATTAATTTTGATATGTAATAGTCATGACTTGGGCTTATTCTTTTGGATAATGTTGTAAATATTCGTGGATGACAAATAAAGTCTTGTTTCTTAAGGGATTATATTAATGCTCTCATGATATGAATGATTTTAAAATACAATGCCGTTCAAGGTATATTTTAGGGCGTTATATTTTGTTATTAGGGTTTTACATTGTTTAGGATTCTACTCCACATACAATCCAAGTCAACATGCATGCATCCTAGTTAGTTTAGGATTCATACGTGGATTTTAGATAGGCAGATTCTTGCTTTTGTATTTTTGTCGCTGATTTTTCAATAAAGATGTTATATACGCTTACCTTCCTTTTTCTTTTTCTTTTTTAAAATTTTTTATTTTTAAAGCAACGATACTACACTACACTATCGGGAGAGAGAAGGGGAGTCATGGGAGGGGATTGAACTAAGCACCTCGTGTTGCTGCACAACACATATCAACATGCTTTTCTGTTTTAGTTAGTTTTGTCTCCTTGGTCCCTCATCTTCATTACTTTGATTATTGGATTTTTGTCAAGGTTTTTTTTTTCTGGTTGGTCAAATATTTTTGAGGGCCTACCCACAAAGGTAACACGTTTTTTTTGGCTGGGCCAAATGCACAGTCTATGTGCTAATGATGTAAACTATGTATTTCTTTCTTACATGTGTACAAAAAACATACCACAAATATAGTGGTTCTTCACTTGTCCTTTCTTTCCAATTTTTTTTATTTTTATTTTTTTGGGTTTAAAGGTCAAAGATGTTGCCATTAATTTATAAATATTTTGACTAATTTTTTCATCCGTCAAGTCATAGGTGGGATATTTACGCTAGGACTAAGGTATTCATAATAAATAAATCTCTCATGATCTGATTCTAAAGAGTTATTAAAATTCGAATTTAAAACATATGAATTTATCACTCATCCTTTATATCACTTGACCTAATCAGTGTTAGAATTTTAAGCATCAATAAAGAAATATAGTTATAAAAGCAAAATATGTTTATTATCATTTTACTAATGTGTTTATATGCATTTTAGCTACAACCACAATATACTATTAGAGCATATTACTGTCATACTATTAGTCAATTTTTTAAATTTTAATAACATTATTGTAATAAGGATATATAGTAAAAAGTCTAAAAATTACTATCACAATAATATTATTGGACTATATGATAGTCATATAACTAAGTCAACAAATTGTACTAATTTTTTAAAATTCAATAACATTACTCAAACTTATATGGCTCATGAGGAATAAACGCGTTTGTATGTATATGTGTTTTCGTCACTGTCTTCCTGTAACGTGGTGACTAGCCGTGTAATCTTTTTGGGTGTCTCTTTATCTTGAGAGACACTCAAAAGTCTCGTGTAACAGCTACAAGACCTTGCTTCTTCTCCCCTCTTTATTTCCTTCAGGTAAAGCCCCATTCTCTCTTCTCCCCCAAAAAACCATAATCTAGAGAGAGAGAGAGAGATGGGATCCGAGGCAGAACTCGAGGCATGTTCCTTACCAAAGCTTGCACTGTTCTCAATCCCACCGATGCAGTCACCTGTGCACTCTGGTATGCTAACACCACCACTCCACACCTCAGCTTCGGTTCCATTCCGGTGGGAAGAAGAGCCTGGTAAGCCACGACCCTGCACAGCTCTCATCACCCTCCCACCCAACAACAATGGACCCAAGTGCTTAGAGCTACCTCCAAGACTGTTAATGGAGTCTAAGATTACCAAAACACCCTCACCCACCACTGTCCTTGACGGTCCTGATGAGGACAAGTCTATATTCTCTTCATCTTCATTCAGATTCATAAGAAAGTTTGAGGGGTCATTTAATAGTACTGTTTCGAGTCCTGAGAGAGGGCAGCTTGGGACAATTGTTCTTGGAAAGAGATCAGGAAACAAGACGAGAAGGGGGTTCTTTGGGTCTTGGAGGCTAAAGACCCTTAAGGGTAGTAGTGGTAACAAACATGTTGGTGGGGATAGTTTCGTCTTTCCATCTTCCATTGACGTAGCAGATCATTGCAATATTGATGATGATCAGTGTGGCAGTACTACAAGGGTGAAGAGGGCAAGGATTAGAAGCAATGGAAGCTTTTCCACTCTCTCTCAAGCAAGGTCTCATTTCTGGGTAAGCTCTCTTCAACAATATACTGTGTTTTAGATTTCAATAACATGTCTGATCTTGATCAGTGCTTGCTATGCTAGGAAACAAAGCAAAATTGTTCAGAAATTTCTTTACTAGCATTTAATTTTCCATATGGGTAGCTGGATTATTTGTGCGCATGTTGTGTGTGTGCGTGTGTGAAATCTAATAATTTACAATTATTAGGTCTGGAATACATTCAATCATATATTATAAGTGAATGGTTGAATCAAAAGCTTAGTCTGACCAAAGAAAATAAAAGCAAAAGCTTATTCATAATGGCCGTTGAAAATTGTACCCGAATGGCTGTGTGGATGAGGATTAAATTCTTTACTTCTGTGGCTGGCAAAGGACACCATATTTTCTTGCGGTCATAGTCCAAATAGTAGGTAGATAGCCTCAGCCTGCTGTCTACAACTTGTAGCAGTGAATAATGATCCATGAACAGGGAAGATTACGCTGCCTGCTAATTTGTTGGATATTTGACCTTTGTCCTTGTGGGTGTTATCTACTATCTAGGCAGCATCTTGCTCAGCAGGCATAGCTCGGAGCGAAAGTGCAGTGGGCGTAAGATGAGGAAAGTGGTTGCTGGAGAGGAAGCCAAAACGGTCTATTAAGTGCAGCTATAAGCTAATATGTGCCAGAGAAAGCTTCAACCTTTAACCAAAAGACATGGCTTTCTTTCCTTATGTTCACAATGCGGTTTCTTTTTGATGTCAAAAACTTAGAAATTGAAATTTGTAGTGCCAGCCCGCCAATTGCCTTCATCCTTTAGAATCATTTAAATAAAGAAAAAAAGGAGATGCTTCTTTCTGGCTTTAGAAAAATTGATTCACAGCCCCCTTCCTTGCCTGCTTTATTTTGAAGCTTCTAAAAGAAAGCAAATGGGACTTTAGCAAACTTCTTGTTGGGGGGGGGGGGGGGGGGGAATGGGGATTCAGTAATGTTATGACTTTTCAACCAGACTACTCTGAAAAGAAATTAGAAGTGAGGGTCCTCTATCTTTGTTGTAACGTTTCAAGGCATGGACACTTTTTCTTGTGCAAAAGTTGGTCAAATGTGACAAAGAACATAGAGATCGCCCACGCCCAACAGTTCTGCCTCTACACAAATTGGGAAGGGTTTGATATACGTTGACTTAGGTTGAGAGACGAGATGAACTCGATATCACCTGACCAAGAAGACTAAAGCTGAACATTTATTTTTGATAGGAACGATCCCCTCACATAATTTTCTTGTCATGGTTGCATATATATATATATATAACAGCGCCCCTACCGTCGGAAGGACAATTTTAGGCCATATCTCAACCACTTCTATGTTGATATTCTTTTTCCTCAACATTGCAGGAAGCTGTATACGAGGGCTTCAAGAAAGCGATTCCATGGAGTAGAAAATCGAAGAAAGATGGGCTCATCATATAAAGACAGCTTAGTTTGTTTTAAGCAGTCCTCTTGAAGCTTTTTGTATGATAAGACAGACTCCAATGCAAACTTGCATGGCTTGATTTTGCTGAGTTTCAGCATGTATTTCTATAATAGTAGTAGTTATTCTCTTTTCTCCTATGTATGCACTACAATGCTAAAGCTTGAATATAAGAATCAAATTCAGTTTATGTATGGTCCAAACTATATTCGTCGTTTCACAAATATGTACACATTTTTTCTAGTGGAAGCATAGTGATGTGAGAATACCTTCACCAAGGTCTAGGTAAATCACTAATAAGATACCATGGGTCTCTCTCTCTCTCTCTCTCTCTCTCTCTCTCTCTCTCTCTCTCTCTCTCTCTCTATAGGCTTTACGAGAGGACTATTTATATAATAAAGTATAATATATTTTAAATCTCAAAAGATAAATAAAAATAATATTTATTTTTTGCGATTAAGATCCCTTTAAATTTTATTTTAAAATTAATCTAACGGTTAATATTAACACTCTAAATTTAATAAGAAAAATATGGTGTTAAGAGTGTGTTTGTGATGATTTTTTTAAGTATTTCTAAAATTTATAACTTTTTATAAGTATTTTAAAAAAATATATATATTTGAATCGCTCCACCACTATCAACACTACCAACTCACCCTCACCCTCACCCTCACCCTTACCCCCCTACTCCACCCCCACCACCACCATTACTACCACAACCACAATTGTCGTTACCCCACCACCACCTCTACCATAACTATCACCACCACCGCCCCACCATCACCATCCACACTACCACCACGACCATCACCACTACCACCCCTATAGCCATCGTTGTCACCCCACTATCGCCGTCACCACTATCGTCATTTATCACCGATTGTTATCATCATCGTCCATCGTCACCATTGTCATTTCATTTTTATATTTATTACCACTAACATCATCATCCCACTATCACTGTCGCCCATTATCAGCACTCACCACCACCCACTACCATAAACTATCACTACCTGTCATTGTCCACCATTGTTGTTAGCCACTATTACTCACCTCCACCACACCTACTACCACCACCACCACCACCGTCAGCGTGTCGCCATTCGTCACCACCCATCACACTATCACCTAGAAACATCCATTGTCGCTCGCCATTACTATCGTCGTCGCCCCACCACCACCACCACTATCAATCACCATCATCGTCGCCCACCACCACAACCACCATTACCACCACGGCCGTCGTTCATGACTGCCACTTTGACTATCGTCACTCAAACCCACTACCATCATCGTCACCCAAACCCATCGCCACCATCACTGTTGCCACCTACAACTGTCACCAACAACACTGCCACCCACCCCCACTTCCATCGCTCACTCTCAATTACAACCGGTGTTTAAATTCATTTCTCTCTCCTCTATATATGTGATTTGATTTTAAGTGTGAATATAAATATATTTATTGTTAATCATTTTTTTTATTACTCTGTACCTTCATACAGGGGTAATAACTAGTATATCTATGTAATAAAATAAAATACAATTCAAATCTCAAAAATTAAAAAAAAAATGCCTTTTACTTTTCACGGGTAAGATCTGTTAAAATTTTATTTTAAAGTTAATCTGATGGCTAATATTAACACCTCAAATTTAATAAAAAATAAGCCCCTAAGAGTGTGTTTGAGTGACTTTTTAAAAATACTTTATAACTTCTCATATATACTTTAAAAAAAATAGTATTTGAAATCATTTCACCACCGCCACCAACCCACCACCACATCTACGTCCACCACCATCATCGCCACCCCCACTACCACCCCCATTGTTGTCATCCTACCACCACCTTTGCCACAACAATCGTCGCCGCCACCCCACCTCTACCACCGTCCCACCACCACCAATACTATCGTCATCCTACCACCACCGCTATTGTCCCACAATTACCCCCATCACCCACTACCACCACCGTTGCCACCACCCTACCGCCATCGCTATCACCACCACTATCATCGCCTACCACTATCGTCACCCACAGTCATCCACACCCATCACCATCACCACCATCGTCATTCGCCACCACTCTTCATACTATCACTCAAAAGAACTCATCGTCGTCTATCGCCACCATTATCAACCACCATCACCGTCGTCACTCATGACTACCACTACCACCATCGTCACCTAAAACCAACATCTACCATCACCATTGCTACTCACAGCTGCCACCATCACCACGATCATCGCCATTCACCACAACCATCATCGTCTTCTACCACCACCACTGTCACCTACTATCACTACCATTGTTCACCCCTATTACAACTGGGGTTTAAATTTTTTTTTCTCTCCTCTATATTTATGATTTGATTTTTAGTGTACATACAAATATATTTATTATTAACTATTTTATTATTATTCTGGCCCTTCAAGAAATAAGTAGTATATATATATATATATATATTTCATAAGCAAAACTGATGATCTCCAAATCAGGGAGAAGGCAATCAATACAAATAATGTAAAAAGATATGAACAATGACTCCACCTCTTAAGACCACATATTTGACGTAACTTTGAGCATAGGATTCCCAAATAGGAAGGGATAAAACATCTTACCCAGCACATATACAGCTAAGGAACCCGTCCCACATGCTTCACAATTCTCAGTGGAAATGATTTGCTTACATGGAACACAGTTTCTGAGAGCACTAAAAATCCATTTAACCAAAGATAATGATGCGCTGATGCTGACAGTTTTAATAATTGAATTACTTACAATGGTCACCCACTCCAAAATTCAACTAATCCACCACTTAAGCTATAGAAAATTACTTACAACTTTTAACCTGTCCATTCAATCAAGCAAATGGAATATTAACAACCTGACCAGCTGATTGCTGATGTAGGGCTTACTTACACAACTCATATTCATGAATAATTACAGATACTGGAGCAAACCATCCAACACATACATACAATCACATCAATTTCATTGACTTACCATGGCAGTTTTAAACTAATTTGGAGTCTTTAAACCAGCTCAATGCAACAATATCAGAAACACTACAACCTGATTAGTTGGAGCTCAAAAGTCAATTGGCATATGTGAGTTGTCAATCAACCAGAATCCTCAGATGGTTGCTCACAATTCATTTTGAAATTATCAACCCATTTCTGAAAATTCTAATCAATTACATATTTTTTTTTTCAAGTACTGATCTAAAACGTCATAAAAACTTACAATTGAACAAAAACCAATAGACAGTTATTTTGTCATATTTAACTTAAGAATCTCAGTACTCGGTATAGATGTTAATACCAATAGTGAACAATTCTTATAAATTTTTAAAAAACGTAAGGGTGTTTTAACCAAACAGACGATCTTATAGACAAGTAGAAAAAAGGGCACTCCAAAGTCCAAACCGGCCAATTTCTCTAGATGGGTCAAAAGATCCCAATTTTAAGCCTTCAAATAGACTGGTAGCAAGCCCACCAAGACAAGTGAAGAAGAGCTCAGGCATTCTAACATGCATTGAATAGGCTATAGATGAAGCTTAGATGGTTTAAGTAGCATGAAAAAAAATTCATACATTATACAAATGAGTTAAGAGATGTATGTAATACTTCAAAGTTCACAGGAAACAAAAGATACTCAACTCTTATTTCAATCTTTGATCAGAGTATAAAGGAAAATAGGTGGGAAGGGAATCAAATTACTGAAAATAACATCTACCCTTCATATTATCTTTATTTTTTGCCAGTCATACCAGCAACCACCTGCAAATGCACAAAACAAATGATCGATTTAATGAAAGTCCTAGGGCAATTAGTCAGTTGAAAGTGAAAAAAAAAGCTTAAAGAAGCGCTAAAAAATTCCTTCAAGTAACTTTGTCAAGAGAGCTTGTATCCCACATCGAATATTAAGGACCACCAAGGTTGGTTTGTATACTTGAGGGGTCACACTACCCATTTACAATTGGTTTTGAGTTAGATACTCTAAGAGCAACTCCAACCGGCTCAACAAAGACCAGCTTTTAGCTAATTTGTTAAGCCAATCCAAAAAATTTCTCTTCAACCGGCTCTCTATTCCACAGGCTATTTTGCCTCCCCTCATTCTCACTCACCACTTCTGGCTAGCAAAACTCATTGGCTATTGTTCTTCATCTCAGAGCTTTGCACCAATTTGGGGTTGTTCTTCATCAGAACTATCTTCATTGTGGTTTCATCTTCACCCGGTATGGATCTCTCTTTATCTCTTTCTCTCTCTCTCTGTGTGCTTGATTCGACAGAAACCCTAATACCCAAATAGAAACCTGAGATGATTTTGATACCTCAAATGATGAAATCAAGAACTGTACAGAGATGGATTTTCTCTTTGAACAGTCTGATTTTCCAAAAACTCTGGCTACCTTTGTAACCAAACTGGTTGACGATTAGCCCTTATTCTAGCAATGGGTTTACTCTTCGTCTTCGCCAATCGCCCACGTATCAGATCTTCTCACTTCTTAGGCTCCAAACAAAAAGCCGGTATCTTCTTTCTTTCTCATATATAAGCTCTTCAGTTCAACAAAGTTTACGTAGTTAAATTGAATTTCTCTATGTTTTGGATTGGCAATGTAGTTCTGTTGCTCACAACTCAAAACTTATAATTCTGGGCTCACTCAATAATATGTAATAAATGAATCGAAAACTTGAGACCCTATTCAGTTTAGTGATTTTAGAGTTTAGTTCTCAGTTGAATAATTCTAGTTGGCCTCTGGGTTTGTTCAAAAACTTGAAACCCAATTCCGTTTCGTGATTTGAAACTGAATTATCAATTTGATTGTTCATTGGTCACAATATTTGAAACCCAATTTAGTTAGGTGATTTTGAAGCTGACTTATAAATTGAATTTGGTCAGATTCCCTTGTCTTTCTGGGTGTTCTGCATTTGATCCTGCTATTGAGATGGGTGGTATTTCACCTCTATGGTGGAGGTCTTGTGCAATTTGGAGGTC